AATATATAAATCGGGTAATTATCACTATAATCTGCAATAATCAATTTTTTTTAGCCCAAAAGTGGAAGTTTAATTCGCAATAATATTGCAATAGAAAGAAGGAACGGAAATTAGATTACACATTATCTTTTAACAGAAATTTAACAAATGTACATGTTTAGGCACCGATTCTTACATATTTTGCCATGTTGTCATTATGCAAAATAAACATCTGTAAAAAGGGGAAAATTAACTCCGGTATATCTTGGATTTACCACTGAAAAGAATAACTCTAAGATTTTGAACGCACATTTTGTAGCCCATGTTTATCTTTATCAAAATTGCCCCCTTTAGAAGAAGAAAATAACGGAATCATCGGACCCTTTCATGGTTTCTGAGATAGACAACGCGTTGGAACGAGAATAGTTATTTACCTTTGTCTCGCGGAAGTCGTTCATCTTCATATATATGACATAAGGTAACAAACCTATGTTGAGGTCGCTATAAAGGAGAAATACGGCGAAAGAGGATAATTCCCTTGAATCGCAAACTTTATAGCGAAACATTAAATTAAGTCGAGGTTGGACTAGCCTGTGAACAGGCTCTCTGTCTGGGGAAAAAAATAGCAAGGAAAGGGAAGGGAAGGGGGGATCCCTCTCCCTAATTCCCCGCTCGACCAAAGGCCTGTTCACAGGCTAAGGTTGGACAATTAAGAGGACCACTGTGAGTCTAAACAATAACGGTTTTCACTCTCAAGGCTCAAATACGACTACAGGCCATACAGTGCCGAGTCCTTGAAATTTATTTCCTTTTTTCAGCGTTAAGGAGTATAACACGCTGGCTAAGCGGAATTCTAACGATCGTTGCGTGGTCTTATGCGAACTAAATTTTAATCAAGTATCCTGATTACAATTTTCGGATCTCAGTATAATTGTCTTGGTCTGAAATGGGTAAATGAAATTCAGCGTATCAATATCAAGCATTCAAAAGTAAGAGGAAAGTGTTTGTCTTTTAATACTTTGGTTAATTTCTCGACGAAAACGTTGCTTCTAATAAAAGCCATGAAAATTTTAATTTTAAGCAAATATTCAGAAATTATAAGCAACCTAAATATACACACAAGGGAATAAAAAAAGTGTGCGGACTCGATAAACTGAATATTGAAATGCAAATCTGAACAACTTGTTAATGCCACATAACTAACTCGCAAATGTTTTCAATGAATATCTCTTGCTTCACTGCTTGCTCTGTTAACTGGCCAGGGTGATGTAAGCCCTTCGCTGTATGTAACAAGCTACACCTCCGGGGGCAAGATGGAACCTTCCTGCCTGCTTGAGTTCGATGGAATGTGCGTGTTCGTAAGACTTGATCATCAAAGTATGGAAAGGAAAAAAAATGCAGCTTTCTGTGGTCGAGATTCGCCCGAGATTATCTTTAAATCAAAATATTAACTTTTGTTGTGGCGGGGGTAAATATAATAATTTTTCGGATTCAAATTAATTCAGTAAAGCTTGCATCATGAAAATGATGAAGTCGGCTATCTATTTCGTGGCTGAGACCTCACTGTTATGATATCATTGTGTTATTTTTTGCCTCGTATACGTCACGTGACACAATCCTTTGTAACCCAGACCTCGTGGTCAAGTGTGCGCTTTTGGACGATCCGAGATTAAAAGCTTGTTGATGTTTGAGCTTGTTTGATGTCCTTCGTCCATCATAACATGGTGTCAGAAGTGGGATAGTCAACCGAGACATTAAGTTTACTGTTGTTGCCGCGATTTCTGAAAGCTTAAACGCCTTGTTCGCAGTTCGTAGCTGGTGGTGAAGGCTACAGTCTGCGTTCATTCATAATCACAAATATGGCCGCTGTCAGCACAACCGCCAAAATTCCCTCGCCGCTGAATTTATCCGACCGTTTGCACCAAGGAGAGAATTGGAAACTGTTTCGTCGAGAATGGAAGTTTTATGAATTAGCAGCTGGCATTCATAAAAAGTCGGAAGAAGTTCGCGTTGCCTCTTTATTAAATGTCGTTGGAAAGGAACGTGATCAGTTTCCAAGCGAGTCCCTCGACAGCTACACAACTGCATTAATGAAATTGTCTGAGTCTTGTGGTTTTGGAACGCTCCGTGAATCGCTTGTTCGCGACCGATTAGTTCTGGGAGTGAAAGATGACAGGGTTCGTGAAAAGCTCCTTGGAAAGCGTGATCTCGATTTGGATAAGGCAATTGAAACGATCAAAGCAAGTCAAGTTACTCATTCACGAGCATCGGAAATTGCGGGTGAAATATCAAGTCAAGAAGATGTTAGTGCTGTGAAACACAAGTCTAGAGCACGAGAGAAAGGAAAGCCTCGCAAGAGTTCGACTCTGAACCCATCGTCTAACAGTAAGTCTAAAGAGTGCCTATTTTGTGGTGGTAAACATGTGCTTGAAAGGAATGCAAAAATGCAAAAACTGTGGCAAAGTTGGTCATTTTGCAGTCAAATGTCGCAGTGGTAAGTCTGAGAAAGTTAATGTCAATGATGTTGAGGAAGTTTTCTACATTAATAATGTTGGTGGAAAAGATGAAGCCCTTGTTCCTGTTACTCTAAATGACACTGCTTCAGTAACATTTCAGATTGATACAGGCTCTTCAGCAAACATCTTACCACTTGAAGATTACATTAGAGCCACTAAAGACTGTCAGTGTGCAAACATTGTTCCTAAAGATATCACTCTGGTTATGCATGATCATTTCAAGAGAAAGGCATTGGGTTTTTCTAGGTTGAGAGTAGAGCATAATGGCAGCAAGCATGATTTGAACTTTGTTATAGTTGATCGAAAGGTTAGACCTTTGCTTGGTTTGAAGTCTTCTCAAGGTATGGGCCTTGTGAAAATCATGGTTTCTGGTGTTGACACCACTGTCAACAATATTAATGCTGTTCCAGAACAAGCTGTTCCTGAGAATGTTTCATCAGACTCAGTTCTTAGCCCCTTTGCTGATGTATTTCAAGGTGTTGGTTGTCTACCTGGAGAATACAGTATTCAGCTGGATAAAGAAGTGCGTCCCGTGGTTCATCCCCCACGTAGAGTCCCTGTACCTAAGAAGGAAGCAATGAAGGCAGAGCTTGATAAGATGGTGACTAACCAGATAATTGTACCAGTTACTGAGCCAAACGACTGGGTGTCTAGTGTCCTAGCTGTTCCCAAAAAAGATGGTTCAGTCCGCATTTGCCTGGATCCAAAAGATTTGAACACTGCAATCAAGCGTTCACACTATCCCTTACCTACTGTCGATGATGTTACGTCCCGACTTACCAAGGCAAAAGTGTTCTGTGTTATGGATGCAAAAAGTGGTTTCTGGGGCAAGTGAAGCTGTCAGAGAGCTCCAGTTATTAGACCACGTTCAATACCCCATTTGGTAGATTTCGCTGGTTGAGAATGCCCTTTGGCATTAGTTCTGCGCCCGAGGTGTGGCAGCGCAAAATGAATGAGGCAATCGAAGGTCTTTGTGGAGTAGAAGTCATCGCTGATGATTTTCTGGTGTGTGGGTTTGGAGACACTGTCCTTGAGGCAATCAAGGACCATGATCAGAATTTAACTGCGTTTGTCCAAAGGTGCCGCAAGTTAAACCTGACACTCAATCCTCAAAAGGTCAAGCTCCGCATGTCTGAAGTACCATTTATGGGACATTTGTTAACTGCTGATGGCATCATTACCGATCCAAACAAAGTCCGTGCTATCAAGGACATGCCCACCCCAACTGATGTGAAGTCACTGAAGAGATTTCTTGGAACGGTCAACTATCTGTCAAAGTTCCTTCCAAACCTATCCAGTGTATCTGAGCCGCTGCGTCGTCTTGAAGTTAAAGATGCTGAGTGGTGTTGGCTTCCCGTTCATAATGAGGCTGTCCAGAAAATTAAGGGTCTTGTTTGTGAAGCCCCAGTGTTGAAGTTTTATGATGTTACTCGAGAGGTTACAGTCGAAAGTGATGCTTCACTTTCTGGACTTGGCGCCACCCTGCTTCAAGAGGGTCAGCCAGTTGCTTTTGCCTCTAGGGCATTAACGCCTGCTGAAGGCCGTTACGCTCAAATTGAGAAGGAACTTCTCTCAGTAGTTTTTGCATGTGAGAGGTTTGATACCTACCTGTTTGGCCGGGACATTGTGCATGTGAAAACTGATCATCAGCCTTTGGAAACTATTTTTAAGAAAGACCTCAGTTCTGCGCCCAAGCGACTCCAGCGCATGTTATTGCGGCTTCAGCGCTACAACCTTGATGTGAAGTACCAAAAAGGAGAGAAATGGTGATGTCAGACCCTCTCTCTAGAGCCTATGTGGATGACCCGCCCTCGCAGACAGAGTATTGCCATGAGCTTGAGCACATCGTTCTAGATGATCTACCCATCTCTGATGTACCCTAAACAGTTTCAGACAAGCCACAGCCGGTGATGCTAGCCTTCAGATCCTAATGTCCACAGTCCTTGAAGGATGGCCTAGTACTGAGGATGGCGTTCCTCAAGAAATCAAGTCTTACTTCTCCTGCAGAGCAGACATCACTGTCCAAAATGGTTTGGTTCAAGGGTGAACGCATCATTGTACCCTCCCAGTTAAGAAAAGAAATGATGGAGAAGATTCACTCGTCTCACCTGGGTATCGAAGGATGTCTCCGCCGTGCAAGGGAAGTGTTCTACTGGCCCAGGATGAATGCCGAATTGAAAGATTTTATTCTCAAGTGTGATGTCTGTAACTCTTTTAAGCTACAGCAGCCCCAAGAGCCCCTAATGCCACATGAAATTCCTAGGAGGCCCTGGCAAAAGGTTGGAACAGACCTAATGCAATGCAAAAGGTTGGAACAGACCTAATGCAATTTGATGAAAACATTTCCAAAAGTAAATAAGTATCGTAACATTACCAACTGTTATTAAATAGCTAAACATTCCTGACATGTCTTCATGTGGTGTAATATTCACAAGATATTTGCTTTTTCAGTTTGAGGCTGAACTGCTGAATTGTCTTCAACAAACATGTGGGATCTCCTTGTCCATGGAAGAGATGATGTCCAGTTGGGAAAAGCTTGTGGATCCACTTATCAACGTGGCCCAGAAAAGGAAGATCCTGACATCTGTTGATGAAGGTAACCTGAAATTTGTAACTTTCAATTTCTTTTGCATTAAGACAAGGTCTTATCGCAAGATTATATTTCCCATGGTGAGCTGCTGGTTTTTCCCTTCTCAAGAAAACATCCAGTGAAATAGAATGCAAGGATGACAATCACAGGATGAAAGTTACCACACAGGAGGTTGATTTTTGTAAAATACATATGTATCATATTAATGTTAAAGAAACCTGTATTGATGAAACTGCTAAAAGTTGAAAAATGTGCAGACTGTGCTGGACAGTAACAATCAGCTGACCTTCTCACCTGATTTAATTGTAGATCCTGATACAAAGGAAATCATGGCTTTGAGATCTCTTCCCACAATTTTCAAGTTAATCAATGGGGCTACAGTACATGATGCAGAAAACCATTTCATATTTGTTGCCAAGGTATGTTCCTCAACCGCTTGAGCTAGCTGTTGCTATAATGTTACTTTATAGTGTGGCTAACATAACTGTTTCCTCGTGGAGCTTAGGCATATATTTATTTATGCCCTTTATTTTTCTGCAGTAAAAGGTGCAATAAAGTTTGATTTGTTACTGGCAGTTTTATTTTGTGTCCATTTTAATAATAATTCAAACAAGTCTTCGAGGACCTCAGTTCACTTTATTTTTCTATTGAGACTGCAATACCAATTTATGTTATTCTGAGAGGAGATAGAAGTCTGGCACTGAAGTAAGGAACTTTAATGAATGACACTGTGAAGCCATAAACTAGCAGTGACTTGCACAAACCTTAGAAAAATTAATTTTTTTTTTATCTGTTCTTTTACAGGATGATGCCTCCTTTGAAGCTGCTAGAGCAAAAGCACCGTCATCTTCACCTTTTTTGATGGTGAATCCAGGAAAACAGGTCCTCCTCATGCAAAGCAATAAAGAGAGTTTTATGGAACTTTCTGCTGATTGCCTTGCAAAAGCTGTAGTTTTTTTAGTTGGTATTTATTACATATTCCATCTTGAATATCCTGGACCTGCAAAGGGTGCATTTATGTTTTTGCAGGAACACATATTGCATGACTTTCTATCTAAGAGGCCATTAAGGTATGCTACGCGGTTGGCAGAAATGAAGCTGTAGTTGAAATGTGTGTCAACTGATAAAGAGTGTAACATTTGCAAATTTGTCACTTGGAGAAGCTCCTGTTATTTCATGAACTTGATAGGTTATGGTATGTGTTCTTATTTAGACTAACTCACTAAGTAAAGAATTTAACAGATTCCAAATTTATATCATGGAAATAATGTACAAATTTAAAACTTATGAACCTAGAATGTTGTGTTACATGAGAGCATACTGGACCAGTCAAATTGGGACATGATACAATGTGTTGTGGCTGGTGACTTTACTAGCAAGTTAATCTTTGATCTGGGTGCATGGTCGTCAAAAAATTTAATTCTCCAAGGGAAATCAAAGTTTTCTTGACTTTTGAATTTGCACAGGTAAACATGGACCATTTAATGGTTTTTTACTCTGCTGTTTTAAATTGACCCTCAGTAACATTGAAGGTAGCAGCATTCCAAAATGTTTGATTGGGATGCAGCTTCTTGCCTCTTTATCACCTAAACCATTTTTGTTTATGTTCTTAACTATTGGTTCCATTTTAATATACAATGTGATGTTTTCAGACTATGCTTGTATATCAATAATAATATTGTTTGTACTTTTCTATATTCTCTGCTGATTAAACATGTTTCAGTTTGATGATAATACTGTGTTTTTTATTAATGTAGTTCTATTTTAAGTTACTTACTAGCTTAATCTTTGGATCACTCTAATATCCAATGCCCAATTTTTTATAATTTGATTGTTTTTAAACTCAGTGCTCTTGGGGAGGGTTAAACATTTTCAAGACTAGAGCCATCCCTTATCTTTTTTTATCAGTCTTGTATAATATTTTATTTTTATTTTTAGGAAGGGCTTGTTTGTGAAATTACTTAAAATAAGCAGGTGTCCCCCTGTGAAAGAAGTTGTTTGCTCCTGAAAAGAAGGTTGATTTTGGGACCATTTCCTTAAATTAAGGACTTTAGAAAGGTGTCATTTACAAAAGTGTTTCCTTAAAGGTAGAAAAGGGTTTTTAATTCAAGAGTATGTTCCCCTACAATTAGGATAACAGATTGCCTTGATAGAGAAAACATGATTACTTAAAAGTAGTAGGAAAAGTTCTTAATTCAGGAGTACAATTCCTTCAAATGAGGACTGTTTGAAACCTCATTTTAAACAGGTCATTACTTAAAAGTAACATAATAGGTTCTTAATTCAAGTGTGTTTTGCCTTAAAATGAGGGCAGTTGGGTACCTCATTTTAAAAACAGTACTTACTTAAATTAAGGGTAGTAGTCTCTTAATTCAAGAGTACATGAACTTGAAGTGAGGGCTCTCAGGGTACCTCGTTTTAAGGGAGGTGTTCCTTACCTATCTGACGCAAATTTAAGTGCTATTTCCCCTTAATTTAGGTAATTCCTTTTTGTAGTGTTCGACTCGGCTACCGCGGCCGTCACTTTTTCTTGCCGACAATTAAAACTTTTGAAGGCATTTGTTTAGCTCTTGCGGGGAAATTTCTTCAAAAGGAGTTGTGAATTCTTTTTGTGTTTAAAATCATTTTATAAAAAAAGATTATTAAATTTACTTTTAAGCTTATTTATGAACAACTCAACTAAATAGAGTAACGCAAGACTTAAACTTAATTTGCATTTGTAAACAAAAAACTTTTTCACCGGTTTTATCGATAAATTCGTGTCAAAAAGACAAAGCTTTACCTGTTAAAACTTCCAATTCGAACTTCGTCACCTTCTTCGTGTATTTCGGAAACAGCTTGCTTGATTAGTTGTGAAATTTCTTTGTTTGTTTACGGCAGCAAACCGGGAAGGCATTTTGCTCGCAACTTACGCGAGTTTGGCGTTGCTCGCTCGTAGGAACTGGAGGTGAATCAGTGAATAGTGCAGGATATTCACTGACTGAGTAGCCAATCAGAGCATGCGAAAAACACTATCCACTGTTTTAGTATACAGCTATTTCGAGAAAGGTTGTTGCAAAAAGTGCACGCGACAATCCCGAAAGGTATTGTAGGTGGTTTTGAGTTCACTCTTCTACAAAGAAATTTGAAAGAATGGCACGGGAGGTCACGGACATATGTTTGCAAGTGCTAAAGGAAAGCAAAGAAAGTAGGTTCGACAGCTCACAGGCGGCCCAGACGTAGTATGTGTCACTGAATGAATATATTAATATTCACATGGACAAATTATTGCGATGAGTCGTCGAAACTCCCATGGACTGAAATAGTGTAAAAGTCAAAATATAACAAAACAAAGCTATGATACCTTCAACTGAACGTATCCTTGTCTTTCCTGGCCGGTTTAAGTGGCATTTTGTCGAGTTTTGCAATTGTAGGTACTATCCACTAAAGAAGAATTAAAGGCTGGCTACAAAACAAACAGACCATCTCCACGCGCCTTCACACGAAGCGCTATAAATTCGAGAATAATCGAGGAATCCGCTCCAAATAACCATCGGCTAATCTGCAGGTAACGTGTGCTCCTGCTTCTGGCTCGCTTGCAACTCCACAAAACCCATCGCAACTGTACAATAATTGCTCGCTCATCAACAACCACTGTTGACCTTTACGCTTCGATACGACCGCAAACGACCAGGTTTAATACGCGACGTGAATATTCAAGCTTAGCGACCGCGTTCGCGCAACAATGCAGCACTTGCTATGGGAGGGATGGTACTATTGCTTCTAGGTCAATCGACTGACCGAAGGTTCGCTGCGTTAGTTTTGACCAGAAAACAAAAGACGATCGCGGGACCGTCCGTAAGTTTTCAACAGGGCAGCCCTGGTTTTCAAGTTCGAATTCTTCTAACGTTCGCTGTCTCAGCTGCCGTCACATTGTTCGTCCAGCTGCTTGCATAGGTTCTTGACTCTACCAGACTTATTTGGTTAGATTAACAACGTCTTACTCCATAATATGTTGTCCAAACTGGTGAAAGAGGACGAGAATTATCCGCCCAGGAAAAAGGCAAAATCTGGCCCCCGCTATGCAGCTGAATAGAAGAAACAGCTGAAGATATCGTAAAGTAAAATTTGCGCGATATCTTTTTTTATTATTATTATTATTCCCAAAACTCAGGGGCACCCAACGATGATTCCCCTCTAAATGCATTCAAAACACATTTAAGGCTGTCCAGAGTACTTTTGATCGAAAAATGCATTCTAAACAGCGCTTACATAAATTTAGTCAGGAGGGCTAAAAGCGAAGCCAATGATTTATAGTTTGCTCATACTAAATATAAAATATATCGTGTAATGCTAAGCGGAGAAGGTAACAAGACAGGGCCAACCAACGACTGTTTCCTCAAATACTTTCAAATGAAAACACTTTTGTAGCTATTCATAAAGCACTTTTAGCTCTAAAGAAATGCATTCTAAGTGGCGCTATAAAATTTGCATTACAGTGTTCGGCCATTGTAGAGGAACTTGAGTCTTTTCGAAATTACGAGGAATTCAGAATTATTTTCCCGAAAATTTTAGATGCAATTTAACGTATTACGAAAGAGATAATTTTTCAGATACCTTCTTTCATCACATTTTTGAATCCGAAAATTTTAGGATTCCATTTTACTCTCTACGAAAATTAGCCTAACCCGGTGGGTGAAATGTGAAAAATTAAAAGTTGGATGCCCTTGACCAGAACTGTGAAAAACAACAATAGGTCTAATTGCAGCACACTTTCTTGTACATTTCCTTGCCGTTGATTTGCATGACTGCAACGTGAAACGTCCAGAAAACGTCCTGGTTTTCACTTTTTATGGAGAAAATGTGGTACATGTTCTTGTTCACTTTTTCCACTGCCGCTCATTTTTTTTAGCTCCGCTATAAGATTCGTATCTGTTCGGTGCTCCTAGGGCAAATTGGATCTTTTTAAAAATTACAAGGGCTTCAATATTATTTTCGCGATTGATTGACCTAGAAGCAATAGTACCATCCCTCCCATAGCAAGTGCTGCATTGTTGCGCGAACGCGGTCGCTAAGCTTGAATATTCACGTCGCGTATTAAACCTGGTCGTTTGCGGTCATATCGAAGCGTAAAGGTCAACAGTGGTTGTTGATGAGCGAGCAATTATTGTGCAGTTGCGATGGGTTTTGTGGAGCAAGCGAGCCAGAAGCAGGAGCACACGTTACCTGCAGATTAGCCGATGGTTATTTGGAGCGGATTCCTCGATTATTCTCGAATTTATAGCGCTTCGTGTGAAGGCGCGTGGAGATGGTCTGTTTGTTTTGTAGCCAGCCTTTAATTCTTCTTTAGTGGATAGTACCTACAATTGCAAAACTCGACAAAATGCCACTTAAACCGGCCAGGAAAGACAAGGATACGTTCAGTTGAAGGTATCTTAGCTTTGTTTTGTTATATTTTGACTTTTACACTATTTCAGTCCATGGGAGTTTCGACGACTCATCGCATTTATTTGTCCATGTGAATATTAATATATTCATTCAGTGACACTCACTACGTCTGGGCCACCTGTGGACAGCTACAGTCGTTGAGTACGGTGTAATGATTATATCCCATATTACCTTTCGGTATTGTCCCGTGCACTTTTTTTGGCGTCAACCTTTCTCCAAATAGCTGTATACTATATATACTAAAACAGTGGATAGTGTTTTTCGCGCGCTCCACGACTAGCCACCTCCACTTCGGTGAATAATTGTTATTTATTTACAGTAAATAGATTTCCATATGTGAATAATAACGATTATCCCCAAGTGGCATACTGCTCGTGAGCATTGGATGGCGAGGTGTTCTCGAACTAGCGGGTTTATTTCGCTTCAGAACGAGAAACTTTGAAGCTAAAAACTGTCAAGCGGTTTCTGCAGATGCTGTGTTTTGTTTTCTTAATATTTTTGTCGAAATCGAACGGAGAAATGCAGAGTAAGTTGGATAAATAGAATATATTTAATTTCAACGCGCATGTAGCAGAAAGTTGGTTGTATTAAAGCGCTAACTGTGTTCGCCGTAGTTGTCCGATTACTCATTTTCTTCCAACAATGCTTTGGGTAAGAACAACGTTCCAGTTAAGAGG